GTCCTAGACTTCGCCATCTCCGGAGGACTGGATTCTGCCGGAATTCAGGCGAGAGAAGTAGAAGACCTCTTCTCGGACGCGCCTTCTCCGTGTCACTTTTCATCCCAGCCTTGCTCAGGTCAGCCCGCAAAATGCTGATCTACAAGACAACAGACGTTGACAAGTACCAATCATACCTGAACAACGTTACCGACCCCAGCCCGACACTTGACTCCCCGTTTGACATCGACACCGTTGTAGAAGAGTTAACAGCCCATATTCAGGCGGCAGCTTCTGAAGCAGCACCAAGGCCCTCCAACCGCCCAAGAGCCACTGACAGGGACATCCACTTTTGGAGCCCAAAAGTCGAAGAACTCAAACTTGAAAAGCGACGACTCCGAAGAGTGTGGATGCTTTCGAGGAATCCTTTGGACAAATCCGCCTTCAATAGAGCGACCAAATGTCTGACAGAAACGCTGGCAAGACTAAGAAAGCAGGCCTTTGACGGGTTCGTCGGGAACAACTTGAGCCAGGCGACCCTCAACATAACTTATGGCGAGTCACCAAATCTATCAGACAGCCGCTGAAAAGGATCCCACCTGTACAAAGAACCGACGGCAGATCGGAGATGGACAGGGCCAACGCTTTCGCCGAACACCTCGAAGGTGTCTTTACGCCTTTCGATCGCTGCTCACCGGAGGATGCTGCTGAAACTGCCCGACTGCTAGCCGAGCCTTCCAGTGACTGAGGAGGAAACAGCTGAGCTCTTAACCATCATGAGCAACAACAAGGCCCCGGGCGATGATGGTATCAATGCAATTGCATTAAAAATGTTACCACCTCCAAGCATTCAGCTAATTACGAGGATCTATAATAGATGCTTTGAAATAGGGTACTTTCCGTCCACATGGAAACGTGCCCAGGTAGCTATGATACCTAAGCCCGGGAAACCCGAAGCAAACCTTTCGTCCTACCGACCAATAAGTATGTTACCAATGCTCTCCAAAATACTGGAACGAGTGTTTTTAAGCAGAGCACTGTCAGTATTTGACGAGGCTGGACTGATCCCTGACCACCAGTTTGGCTTCAGGTGGCGACACGGTACCCCAGAGCAGTGCCATCGGGTGGTGCAGTGCAACCTGGACGCATTTGAAACCAAGAAGTACTGCATGGCCGTCTTGCTGGACGTGAAGCAGGCGTTCGACCGAGTCTGGCATCCCGGTCTTCTTTATAAAATAAAGTCGGCCTACCCCGACCATACTTCCAGTTCCTAAAGTCGTTCTTGGAAGACCGTAAAATTGCGGTTAGATGTGGTGAGGCCATCTCCGGTATAAGAGAAGCTCACGCTGGTGTACCCCAAGGCAGCGTTCTTGGCCCGTTGATGTACAATGCATACACGGCCGACCTCCCTGTTCTTCAGAGGCCTGACCTGCTCGCAGCAACCTATGCAGACGACACCGCCTTCCTTACCAACGCCAATTGCAGCTTGACATGCTCAGCGACTGGCAAAAGCGATGGAACATTGCCGTCAATAATGAGAATTCCACTGCCACCAAATCCTCAACGGCTCTCCAATCCCACAGGAAGACAATCCCAAGTACCTGGGATTCACCCTAGACAGGAGGCTCACCTGGAGGCCCCATCTGATTAAGAAGAGGAAACAGATCCTTCTACTGGCTCATGGGTAGGAGATCGAAGCTGAGAACTTCCACAAAACTTCTCATTTACAAGGCCATAATACGCCCAATCTTGACGTACGGCTTACAGCTATGGGGCACTGCGAGCAAGACGAATGTCCAAACTATACAAGCTTTCAAAAATAGAGCCCTTCGAATCGCCACTGGGGCCGACGTCTATCATGACAATCGCACCATCCACGAGGTTCTCAAATTCCCTTGGGTCAAGGACAAGATCCAAAGAAGCAGCGCACGTTACATGCAGAGGCTTCATAATCACCCGAACCGGTTGGCCAGCTCCCTGCTGGACAACAGCGAGCAGCCCAGAAGACTAAAAAGGACACACCCGCTGGACCTCCCCTTAGTACTCTAATTTATTTCTACCATATTAATATTTAAAATTATCTATAATTTATTATATTTAAAATTATCTATAATTTATTTATAAGTGAAGTTTATGTGATAACATTTAATGGTTGTCCCTAAAGGGAAGTTTTAAATAAATGTTTCCCTGCTATTAAAAAAAAAAAAAAAAACATTTGGATATTCAGAAAAAATAAAACAAAAATGAAATGAATTGAAACGAAATGAAACAAAATTAGAACGACGATATACTACATTTTTATACAAATGTAAGGTTAAAGTGTAAAGTCATTTCAATTGCCGTAATTGATTCTTTGCTCCAACGAAGTTTGTGACATTGTTCGACCAGGTTTGTCGAGACCTTCTCCGGTTAGAAAAAAACCTCCTAAGGACATCAAGGAACGTGGAAGTGGACTCACGAACTCCAAGTTCACAGCCTTCGCTGTGAAACAACACAAGTTGATGGCCTTGTCCACTGTTTTCTTCTCCGATTGGCCAATATTGGGATCAAATCATGGCTAAAAGTACTCGTGACCCAGTATGCAGTTTCTGCACATGAAAGCTGGTGATAATATTTAGAGTGACAGGGTGTCTTCTGGGATTGGGTGATGATTCGGTGCCGATAATAAAATCCAGCGACGAGTTCTTGGGACGATCATCATGAGAAGCAGTAGCAGAGAAAACTAGTGCAAGAATGGCTAAAAGGAGGTCAGTAAGCTGGAAGATGCCACGATACCGTTAAATTGCAAATATTGAGTTCGTCCCACAGATGTGCCTGTTGCACTACCCACAACAACATTTGGGTTCCAGCATTTAGATGGTGCAATGTAGTTCATTCATATGCCTGCAATTTTTTTAAATGTTGGGAAATACTCGCTACAAAGTCGGAACTGAATTGGTGTACTTCAATCTCGAAATACGGTAATTTTACCAAAAGAAGTTATGCCCGAAGTTCTATGTTGGGCTTATCAGGAATTACGAAAGCTGGCCAGCTTTCCTGGCGCTTTCCAAGAAAGGAAAGGCTTCATTTCCTCAATCAAGCTATTCCATTCTGGCTCTGAATTGGGGACTCACGGTTAGCGGAAAAGACTTTAAACCTAGATGGCTCAACTTGGATCCTGGATAGCGCGACTTAGCCTTACTAATTTGTTCGTTCTGAGTTAAACTCCTGGGGAATGCTCTCGTCACAGCCTTTATAGAAATATCTTTGCCTTTAGAACTGCAGGCCCAACAAGGTCATAAGGGTCGCTTAATCGAGAAATCAAGGAAATTTCCGATTGTCTGCATGGTTTAGAGGACGATTGGAGGCCGAAAAGGTAGCTGGTCTGATAAAGGATCATACGTGAGTCCCATCGTTTAGTGACATAGGTGAAAGGTTAAGTAGTTGATCCTCTTCAGGCACTCCCGCACCATTTTCTCAAGAGAAACTTGTCCTTGGATAGGATTCTAGCAATTTTCTCCCTTATGTTGATAACTTCTTCCGCAAACTTGCCACCAGAAATGAGATCATATACATAGAAATCACGCTGCTAGATTTTGGACCTCAAAACCTATTTCATCCTTACCAAGCTGGTGCATTGCTCTTACGACCAAATATGATGCAGGCATCATTCCATAGGTGACCGTATCCAACTTACACGACAAGAGTTCATCCTGGGGCGATTCTCGCCAGAAAATACATTGGATTCTCGCCTGAGAATGTCATACATTAAAACTTCATTTAATGAGCATACCGAGGTTGTAGCAGCGGAACCATCAAACACCACCATAAGCTTGCTTTTTGAGCTTTCCTCATTGAACACGCAATGATGAGGTAGGAAATACTTGCAGGATCGCGCTAGCTTGGAGAGAACTTGTGACTTGTGACCTAACTCAAGATATTCCTTGTCAAAGGCGGAATAGAGGATACAACTTCCTTTCCAGAGCATGGGAGCGTCCCAAGCTGAATTTAGCTAAAATACTTCCCTTTCTTCAACCAACCAAAGGTTTTAGAGAAATGAGCCGCTTAATCAAGCTCCTTTTTGGATGAAATTTTCGACTTCCCAGAATTTACATAGAAGCACGTCGAGCCAATTCTTTCCCACGGACTACCCAACACAGACGTGTTTTTATACCCTTGCAGAGGGTATTTTAATTTTGTCCAAAAGTGTGCAACGCAGTGAAGGAGACATCTCCGACCCTACAAAGTATATTTATTCTTGATCAGGATCACCTCCTGAGTTGATATGAGCATGTCCGTCTGTCCGTCTGTCTGTCTGTTTCTACGCGCTCAGTTTTGAAGCTATCGTCTTGAAACTTTGCACACACCTTTCTTTCCCTTGCACACAATATTATTAAGCGGAACGGCCCGGATCGGCCAACTATATCCTATAGCTGCCATATAACTAATTGGTCGGAAATGGTATAACTTTGATGTTTTTGTAGTTAAAGCGTTCAAATTTTACATAAGAGCTATTTTTGGCAAAATATTACGAAGTGCCGAATTTCATAACGATCGTCCGACTATATCCTATAGCTGCCATATAACTGAACGATCGGAAATGGTTTTTGGTAGAAATACCACCTTTGGTATTTTTGAAGATAGAAGTTTGGGACTTTTTTTTACATTTTTTATTATAATAAATTGGGTTATATTATCATATTTTCATCAGGATCGGCCTACAATATCCGATGTTTGCGATACACATCCGGTTTTAACTGCAGGGGTATATCAACTTCGGTTCGGACCGAAGTTAGATTTCCTTTCTTGTTTTAGTGTGTTCTTGCAGCTACACAGTATATTTCCAGTCTGTATTTCCACATCGGGGTCAGATAAAAAAGTTAATAAAAAAATTCCATCGGCAGGCCCAAAATTTTTAAAAACCTCTGCATGGCATTCGTTGCCTTATAAACATATACGTTTATTATGCTCTAATTAACATTTAACTTTTAACACATAACATCATTAAAAAAATAAAATAAAAATGTTATGTCTTTTTTTTTAGAATCCAAATGACGAGCAAATGGAAAATGAAACGGATGAACAGTTTGAAGAGCGCGTTTTAAATAAAAGAGCTGCTCAGCTTTTTATAGATGTGAAAACACATTTAACTGCAAAAGATAATATGACTCTATCGCAGCTAACATTAGGAAACTCAAGAAAGCAGGTAATAAAAAAAAAAGTTTAGTTTCTAGACTACATATATTTTATCTTGATTTTTCTTGCCAAATCAATCATTTATTGGATCACAAAAAATTAAATTATTCTTATATTATAAAAAAAATAAAAAACATTGGTGTATGTGTAATAAGCGGAAGTCTCCCCTTTCACTCCACATACTCCCTTTTTATAACGATTTTTATACCCTTGCAGAGGGTATTATAATTTTGGTCAAAAGTGTGCAACGCAGTGAAGGAGACATCTCTGACCCTATAAAGTATATATATTCTTGATCAGGATCCCCTCCTGAGTTGATATAAGCATGTCCGTCTGTCTGTCTGTCCGTCTTTCTGTCTGTTTCTACGCGAATTAGTCTCTCAGTTTTAAAGCTATCGTCTTGAAACTTTGCACACACCCCTCTTTCCTTTGCACGCAGTATATAAGTCGGAACGGTCGGGATCGACCGACTATATCCTATAGCTGCCATATAACTGATTGATCGGAAATGGTATAACTTTGCGGTTTTTAGAGTTAGAGCGTTCAAATTTGACACGAGAGCTATTTTTGCCAAAACATTACGACATGCCAAATTTTATAAGGATCGGCCGACTATATCCTATAGCTGCCATATAACTGAACGATCGAAAATGACCCAACTTTCTTGTTTTTAGAAAGAAAGATAGAAAGCTGAAACTTAGTACAGATTCTATTTTTGGTCAGTTGATCCAACCTACCAAATTTCATTAGGATCGGCCGTCTATATCCTATAGCTGCCATATAACTGAACGATCGGAAATGGTATTTGGTAGAAAAATCAATTTTCGTATTTTTGAAGATAGAAGATTGGTACTTTTTTTTTTTAGATTTTTTATTTTAAATAATTGGTTTTATTATGATGTTATCATAAGGATCGGCCAACTATATCCGATGTTTGCGATATATATCCGGTTTTAACTGCAAGGGTATATAAACTCCGGCTCCGCCCGAAGTTAGCTTTCCTTTCTTGTTTATTTTAAATTTACCAATGCCTAAGCCGTCTCTTGTTAAAATTTTTTATATTTACTAACAACAAATTTATTTTTCAGGCTGCTCAAAAATTTTATTCCCTTCTTGTCTTAAAGAAATTTAAGGTCCTTCACATTATTCAATCGTCACCCTATGCCGATATTGGAATTATGCGAGGACCAACATTCGAAAATCCCAAAATATAATGCATTAGGGATAATATTTATATAACAAATATAATAAGAATAAAATATATATATATTTAATAGATTATTACGAGAAACATTTTTATTTGTGTTTTTATTGTAACAACGGAATAAATAAAATATATTTCTTTATTTTTAGAACATAGAAAATTTCGGCATATCTCTCACTTGCTAAATGGGAATTTCCTGGGGTCGCAAATGTACGTTTAAACGAGAAACCCTACAGGCTAGACCGTGCTCAGATTATTGCAACACCTTAACATGGATTATTCCTTCCAGTAAGATTCGCATGGATTAACATCCATGAAGCTTGAAAATTTCTGTAAATTTCTGAATCCACTTTGAATTAAACTCTGACACATCCGAGCTTTCAGTGAGAATTTATATGCTAGATATTATGATCTCAGAGTCTGCAGGGATGGGTCGAGGTATGATCGATAGTTTCTTCCTCTTCTTCGTTCCTACATAGCGTCAGTAGTTGTTATGGGGTGAATTCAGTAGTGCTGTTACTTGTACTGGTGAGAACTAGAGGGTCGTGTAGTAAAGAGATGGAGTGTCCGGGTTAAAGGGGTTGTGATAAGTTTCTCTCAGAGCTTGCAAAAATATGTTCATCTTTTGAAAGTGTTCGAAAAAAATCGATCATGTCGGAACACTTATAAAATCGTGTCTGAACAAAAAAATTAGGGGTTTATTCTATTTAGTTGTGTCACAAAAATATTTAATCTTCAGAAATTTTTTAGAACAAAAAAAATAAAGGTGCTTTTAGGTATACTTCTGATACTTTAAAGATGATTTTGTAAATATTTCAAAAAATTGTAACCGTTTCCGGTAGCAGTATACATTTTTTGTCTACGCCAGTGTTGCCCAAGCTCTGCATACGGGAGAGAAAACTCCCATACCAATCCAAAAATTCATCAATACATTAGTGCGAGAATTTTTTTTCCATGTGGGTGCACTGAAAAAACAAATTATAGTAAAATTTACAAGGGGTTTAAAAATATGAATGTAATAAAAAATATATTTTATTACAGCAATTAAAAAAGGAGGACCTACATTTTTACAACAGCTTATTATTATACTATGACAATTATTTTTATTGTTTTTTCCAGAGCTTGTAAATAACTGTCAACCGTTTTTTTTCTTGCGCTCTCGTTGCGAGCAGAACCGAAAAAGTTCATACTCTCTCGCTCTCGCTCTGAGCAAGAGACTTTTGCTGTCCTTAATTCTGTTTTCTGTTGAGCGCTTTTCGTTGAGCCTTTTTATTTCGGTCGTTTAATGAGCAGTGCGTGAAGAGCGGAACGAGAAACGCTCGCACAAAGAGAGTCAGCAAAAGACCGATTGACCGAAAAACTCAATCCAAACGGTCTTTTCATTTACTTTCGTTGTTGTTGCTTTCGTAATTATTATGTTTTTACTGCAAAAGGAATGCAAAAAAAGTTTCAGACAATGTTGTTTTTAGATTTTTTTTTTTATTTTATATCTTATATTCATATTTTTTGTAAAATTTTTTATATTTATGTGTTAAGCTTAACAACTAGTAAGGAGTTTAAATTTTCTGCGCTAATCGAACTTCTTCGTTCACTTAAAATAAAATGTAGGGCTGAGAATGCCCGTTCGACGGAGACTTGCGTTGCAGGTGTAGCCAGCACAACCTGCGCTAGTGCACTTATATGCGGCATCCTAAGTTTCAAATCATTGAAAAAATCCAATATGTTGCAATTTAATGGCAAGCGACCAAATGTTACGTCGAAGTTTTCAATGTCAGCATAAATTTTGGATAGTTTTGTAGAAACTGGATCTTCTTTGTTTTCCGAAACTGTCTGAAAATCGTCCAAAAATGCCGAGAACAGGGACTTCTCTTCAGATGAGGATGCGGTTGAAATTGACGAGGCAGTGGAAGCAAACATCTCTTCATGCACAGGAGTTTCGAGCGCTGCAACATTTCGTGTTTGTGCCTTTAATAATAAAGCGATAATAAGTATAAAATGTATTTTGGATTTTAGTTTAGTACAAGTATTAGTTTTTGACGAAGACAATTTTAATTAGAGTGTCAAACCTACAACATAAACAAAACAGGACCCACATTTCAAACATTCTACGACATACGGCTTACTTTTTTCAACTCATGTAAACGAAAAGCAGTTTTTTTTAAATTAGCCTTTGCTAAGGATTTTTGATTAGTCGACAACATACAATTTACACGAGGATCCATGTAAATCGCTGCCAACAATGCATCATTTTCTAATAATTTGGTTTCCCTTATTTTGATTTGTGCCGATAGTTTTTTTTAAATTAAATTGTAGCTATTATCGCATTTCAATTTGAGTTCCATCCATATTACGAAGAACTCACTATAAACTAAATCTTTGTTTTGTAGCTTTAGGGTTGCTTGGTATGTGTCACTGAAAGCGTCAATGTACGTCTCGATCCAATCCCAATCGGCCTCTACACAAATATTTGGCCGCGTTGCCAGGAAATCCTTTAAGTCAAATAGTTTCTTTAGCATTAAATACGTCGAATTCCACCTTGTAGCAACGTCGAGCGATGGCATGTTTTTTTCATTCTCAACTAAAATACGTCTGCATAGATTTTATAAATATGAAGTATTTATAATATATAAAATTTATATATTTATATATAATTATATATACATATACATATATATATATTTATTTATTATTTTCCCCGATTCATCCCGATTGGAATATAAATTTATATATTTGTACTTCTATAACTTATAACTTACCTATATGTTTCTGTGCGCAGCGATTTGCATAATGTGCGACAGGCACTTATTCTATCGGCGATCTCCTTTGTTTTGTTTACATCAAATACGCACAGTTGCAGAGTGTGTGCTGCACATCTCACTAGGTGTATATTAGCCAGTTCAATAGAATCCAGTTCTTTCAGAAGATTCTCACTTTCTATGTCTTCTTCAAAAAGGGATTCCTCTGTCGCATCATTTAATACCTGGACGACTTTTATCATGTTTCGTCCATTATCAGACGTAATGCTGTGTACGAGAATATGAAATTAAAACAAAAAAAAATCACATATTTTTGTACATACAAAATTGTATGGAATTCAATTTTTACCTGTAAATCTGATCAAGGGATATGCCATAATCATCTAAGATTTGAAGAATTTTTGTTTTTATATATACTCCAGTGTGAGATTCCCCGAGCTCAATCATGCCCAAGGTCTTCACAACAATCTCGGTTTTAGCCAGGCTTGCATGGATCATTTGCAAATTGATGCCTAGAATGGCTTTATTCATTCTGGTGGCAACGTCGATTTTCAGCGACACCATCTTTCCCTTCGCAAGTGCCCTTATATTTTCTTTAACAAACTGTTCTTTGATTGACACAAAATTCATAATATTTCTAGACGTTACAGGGTTCATGCCAAGTGCATTATATATTGGATCCATTATTTCGTTGAACCCTTCACTGTCTAGAAATTTGAATGGTTTTCCGTCTGTGGTTACAATTTTTATCAAGGAAGAAACAATTGCTTGTTCACTCGTTTGATACGATATTTTCGTTTTTCTTCGCTGTCTGTTAACTTTGTAGATCCAGAATTATTCCACTCGTTGAAAATGTCCATATGCTTCGTTGTTAGATGGCGTCTTAAATTTGTGGAATGATTCCCGGACAATTTAATTCCGCAAACATTACACATCGATTTCTTTTCGACCGAATTGAATTTAAAAAATTGGTGCACATTTTTGTTACTGTCTCTTCCCATTTTACAAAAATAATTAGTTAACACAGTTAAACAACGCAACTTAACACACTCAATACACGATCGCAATTAAACATCTAACGATTTGCTTGCCTATGCGTGTAAATGTATACCAATACATACGCAAAAGACTTTTTGCTTCGCTGAAAACGACAAAACGGTCTTGCAACAACCGAAACAAAACAGAATACAAAAAATCGGTTTCGCTCTGAGCGCGAGCGAGCACATTAAAGAACCCATGAAACGGTTGCTCTCTGAGTCTTTTCGTAAAGAGTCAGAAAGAGACACTTATTTGCAGACAACGAGAAACGGTCGACAGTTATTTGCAAGCTCTGGTTTTTTCGGTTTCGGCACTCCAACAGGAGTGTAGTTTTTACGGTAAATTTCCATACCTTTTTGTTGATCAAAAATCGAGTATATATATAAGCTATCTATGTAATTGTGGCATCCATTCCATGGAAGTATTACTCGTATTTAAAAAATTCAGATTTTTTTTTAAATTGATAGATATGATAGTTGCCAGCTCGAAAAATGTAGTTTTCCAGAAAACGCGTTCAACTATAAAATTGAATGTATTTATTAGATTGTGTTCAAATTTTGAGAAGACGAGTATGTAGATTAGGTTAAAAAATATATGTATAAGTTAATTTTAATAACCCTTGTACTATTAATTCTTACTTTCACTCAAGCCCGTTGGGGCAAGGATCCATTGATAACAGATTGGGTTTATTAGGTTTTTTCATTTATTTCACCTAAACCTGTTGAGATAAAGGATAATATAAACAATGTTACAATTATTATTTATTACACATTGTGTAATACACAGCTATGGCTGCGGAGTATGATTTAAAACTAATCTAAAGGTCCGATCCGGCTGCAGCTGGAAGTTTTCGTCCGGTCGCAGCGCTGTCGCCAAAGTGCCGGATCAGCAATTTTATCCAGTTGCTGACGATCACTCGCTGCGCGAGTGTTCTGACTAGGGTTGTTGGTTTTTGAAAAAATATCGTATTGATGATATTTGCTGTGAAAAAATATAAAAAAATATTTTCGAGTATCGAGTATTTTCGATATTTTTAATAGTCAGCTAAAACTGAAAAAAGGTTATTTTTAAATTTAAAAAAAGGTTTTAATATGTGTTGTCATCCGCCATGAACTGCAAACAAGACATATTTTTTATTTAAAAAGTGAATTGAAAAAACAACAAATATTTATACCCACTCTCAAGCAACTTTTATTTAAGTTCTTTGAAATAAAAAATAACAAAATTATTAAGGACATTGTATTCAAATTTATTTATAAAAAAAACTTTATACAAAAAAAAGTTTCATGGAATTTATGGAATATGTACTTAATAATGCTAATTACTTAATTCTCTTATTTAATGCTCTTAATTACAAAATAAATCTTTCTTCAATGATTTAAAAAAACTCTTTCGGTTATATGCTGGTATGTCATTCGACTACGGGAGTCACAGACAACACATTTAATGGCAGAAGCCAACCGTTCAGATGGAACCGAACTTCCAGGCGTGATAAGAAAACTTAAAGCAACTTTCGCTAGCATCGTCATCGTTGAAATTTGTGAGTTCCAGAATTCCAACGGATTTGTCTCCCAAATACAAAATGGCATACTCAAGTAAACCTGCATTTCCTTTCTTTCGCAACTAATATCGGAGAACACCAACTCAAAAATATTATTATCGACTATTTTTGCCCAAAAAATATCACGATAATAATATTTTTTTAAGAGAAAATATATCGATATATCGATATTTTGATATATTTCCGACATCCCTAGTTCTGACCGTGTGATTGTCCCCGGAGTGCAGAGTCGGCAGTTTCCCTATTCCGTGTGTTGGCCACCAGGTGTGACCGGGGGAAATATCCTCATATAGTATATACCTTTTTATATACCCATACAAACGGGCTTTTTCCATATATACCTTTTGAAAGAGTGGATCTCAAAGACTTTCGTCCTCGTAACATATTCGCGCGGATCAAGTTTGTGTGAAAAATTTTCCACGCCACTCCCGCCCCAAAACTGAAATCTGGTGTAAGCACCAGTTCGTTAATGTTTTTGGATAATGTTTTGATGCCAAACTATTCCCAATTGCTAATTTACACCTATGAATCAAAAAGTAGCCTCATCGGAAAATTTTAGGAAGAGTTATAGAATTTGTAACTTTTTTTCTTTCCATACCGAATTGGAAGTATGGCCGTATTTTACTGTACAGCTAGATTGTTACAATTCAAATTAGACAAGAGTTTGAAGAATAAAACATGTTTGGTCCTGATATTGAATATTATATTGTACGAATTTCCTATTGATTCTGTGGTCAAAAAATATTAATATTGGAAAAAAAGAATTTCATATTATAAATTTTATACAAACATAAAGTTTTTTAAAATATTTTAGAAAAAGTCTTCTACTCAGATAATTTATAAAATTAGCTGTTTCATAATAAATTTAAACTTTTTTAACTTAGCAGTAGGAAACATTCAATAATCATATTTGTAGGCCAGAGTTGATATTCCCTTGCAGTTAATTTCGGATGTAGTCGGCCCATACTTATGAAATTTGGTAGGTCAGATTAATTGTCTAAAAATGGAATCCATCCCAACTGGGGATCCCAACTGGGGATCCCAACTGGGAATCCCAACTGCTTTTAAAACATCTGAGTAATGGAATTTCCGATCAATCAGTTTTTTGGTAGCTAATAGGACATAATCGGCCGATCCCGGCCGCTCCTGCTTATACACTGCGTTCAAAAGAAGGATGTGTTTAAAGTTTAAAGTCGATAGTCGATGTATATACTTGGTAATATAATGTTAATATTAATTTAATATGTAAGTAAATATACCTGTTTAAATATTCGAATATCGTGAAGAAAAAAACTTTAAGCCTCTCTTAAAAATGGAGCTTCCCGTATGAAATAAATACTGTTTCAGAAATATTCTGAAAAAATTTAAGTTCTCAGGGCCGTTTGGTTAATAAAAAGGTTTAAGGCGCACGTAATTTTAAGGCGATTTTAACTTTTTGTGCGTTTTTTTTTCGGCAGGCTTCGATTCGATTTTTTTTTAAAGAATCTTAATATTCTTATGAAGTTGGCCATCGTTAAGTGTGACCCCATAAGGGTATAAATATTCTTGATCCGATCACCCTCTGTGTCGATATAAGCATGTCCCTCTGTCTGTGTATAATCGAAATAATATCTCAATTTTGAAGCTATCGACTTAAAATTTTGCACACATCTTTGTTTCCTTTTCACGCTGTATATAGACAACGGCCGCGACCAGCCGACTATATCTTATAGCAGCCATTTAACTGATAGATTTCAAATTCGATTATTTCGGATTTTTTTACAGTTAGCGGTATGGGACTTTCTATGTATTCTATTTTGGGCTTACTGATCTGATCTACCAAATTCCATAATTATCGCCCGACTATATCCTACAGCGGCAATCTAACTGAGCTACCTGAAATAACCCAACTTTATAGTTTTTCAAAATAGAAGGTTTGAACTTCGTACAGGATTTCGTCTTATTTTTGGAAAGCCAATCGTTTTTACTATAACTGAACGATTTAAAAAGACCCACCCTTGGTACCTATGAAGAAACAAGATTGGGAATTTTGTTATAAGGAATTCATTTTAGGAGGAAATTCAATTTTGAAAACTTAACTTTTGAGAAAAAAAGTATTTTTAAATCTTATTTTTTGGCGAAAAACCTATACATACATATATACATATATATGTATTTGTTTAATTTTACTCATACCTCTTCGATTCCCCTGCTTTCAATTCCACCTTACTTCTCATAAGTTTTTTTCCAAAATTAACGTAAATAATTAACTTTTTTTAAGCCACTTTATATTAGATCGGTAGAAAAACTATATAATTAAGCCGCCTTATTCACTAAGATACTAATGCATTAAATTCATATCAATTGATCATATTGAGTACCACTGATTTAAACTTGTAGAGGAAAGGCCGATCCACGGAGATGGCTCTCGACATTCATACTTAGTGAAAAAGAATATTCGCTAAATGTTTTTCTAGACATTGAAGGTGCTTTTACCAACATCCTGCCATTTTTAATAAACAACGCGCTGACGGGACAAGGGGTATGCGGGGATCAACCCGTGCACCTCATAAGGGGGATCATGGTAAACAGGAGAGGCACTTCGCAAGGAGGTGTATTCTCCCCTCTACTATGCAACGTGGGGATATAAAAGTTAGTAAAGTTATGGGTGGTACGGTGCATTTGATTATGTTCGGTTACCCCTCACTGCAGTTAGTGGTGTCGCAGGCGTGGGCGTCTCTGGCGGTTGCCGAGGGAGTTTCTCCTCCTTACAGGTAGTTGTGTTGATAAGATCCCTGGCGGTTGCCGAGGGAGATTCCTTTTGTGCAGGAATTATGGTGGGGGCACTTGCTCCGTTATCACGGCCCTTGAGGCGCTGTGACCAATTCAATAAAGTGAATTTACGATTTAGGGCAATGCCGGAGTTATGAATTAAATACTTCTTTATTCAATGAAGCTCGAATACAAACTAAAGCTAACAAAAACGTATCTCATAGAGGCCACGCAAATATGAAGTGTTCGCCGGCTATGAATGGGCATCTGGTCAGACGCTGTGTCAGCAGTTTCTGTAAAGTTATTGCCTAAGCGGCTTATTGCCTAAGTTTCAATTGTCTTCACTGAAAAGTGTCCACAAACTTCGTGTGACTGCATGACGTACAAGCTGGTGGTTCTCTCAACATGAGAAGATAAGAACGGTCTACGAACGAACCCATTTAAGACCAAACTTGTCCTTTCACTAGGAAATACAAACCTCTAAGTTTAAGGCTTCCAAAACTATCAGGAGAAACTCTTACCCTTAATGGTGACGCCAATTACCAAACAATTACGCTAGACAGAAAACTGGACTGGAAGCTTAACATCATGGATAGAGCAAACAAAGCGGCTATCGGCTCTATACCTGTCGTAAGGCGATTGGGCTTAAATACGCTATTTCTCCAAAAATTAAAAGAGAGCTTTACATGACTGTTATATTATTTAATCCTATTCTACGGGGTAGTAGTCTGGTGGCCTGCTGGTGAACTCAGAGGATGGCGAAGGTCAGAATTACAGGTAGCCTTTGTTCTCGACCTTCTGAATGTACAGATAATGGGGGTCAAGATAGTTACGTTTCCGTAACGTTAGTTACGGAGAAGGACTAAAAATGGTCAAACCAAGTTTCACTTACACCGTCGTATACCCGTCGATCATCCCACCTCAAACTATCAGGTCTCCATAACATCGAGGGAGGAATGGACGACTTAAATCCCGGGACCAGCGGGTTCCCTTTATATATACACCGATGGCTCAAAGTTGAATCACCAGATGGGAAGCAGTTTCCAC